GCATTAGAAGCTAATGAGATTTCTGACCTGAACATTGTTTCCTTGACATTACTGCAGATAGTGAGGGTCGTACTCCTTTGCACTGGGCTGTAGATCGAGGCCATGTGAATGTTATAGAGTTGATTCTGAACAACAACGCTGATGTTAATTCGAAGGTAGACTAAAAATCTTTGTATTACTTATTCTTGCTGAGTTTCCTTCTTAATAGCAAAGCAAATAAGAAACCAAAAAAGGGAGGGAAAAAAATATAACTGCACACTGGTGCGAAGTTACTCAGTTAGTTCTTTGTTTTGTACTTTGGAGAACTGACTGCAATTAATATCTCAGTACCCATTCGAAGCAAACAATTAAAAGACAAACACTCTCTTACATTATTTAGATTTTATTTATTTTTTTTATTTTGCAAGATGCATAAAAGAACCTGAAAACATAACTGGAGTCATATATTGGAGGTTTTATGTTGGCTTACAGAGCCTTAGGGCACATGGATAAAAGATTTGTGTAATGGAGCATCTGAATAAGATTCTCTCTCCTTTTAAAATTTACCCGTGTTTAAAATTCATATGGGCCAAATCTTCTAATTGAGCCACAATTTATTAATTGTCATTCATTTGATCTTACAAGATCCGTGTATAGTAACATCATTTGTCACGGATACTGCAAAGAGTTGACTTTTATATACAAGATGTGAATATTAGAATTAGTGTAGCATCCATACTGTGTGTATAGAAGTTCCACGGCATCCTTACTATATATGTGTACAGAAGTTCTGCAGCGTTTGTTTCTTGTATATTTTGATTTCAGTCTAACAAGGCTAAGCTTATAAGTGCACATAAATAGTGGGTCCCAAGGATTGTATGGTTAAAAAGTAGATAAAAGTTGTGGGTTTTGTAAAATGCGTGGGTGAAAATTGAGTTTGACCGGCTTATAAGAGATGTAAGCTTTGCAAAAACATGCAATTACTTTAAGAGTGTGTTTGATGCACATTTTTTAGGAGAGAATGCATTTTTTTTGTGATGTGATGGTGAATATGTGGTTGAAAAAGAAGGAAAAGTTATTGATGTGATGAAAAATATTATTTTATTGAAGAATGTGCGGTTGAAAATGTGAAAGAAAAATGAGAATGTGGTTCAAACATAGGCTTAATTTAGTTCTTATTTTTCATTGGTACTTTATTAAATTATTAACTCACCATTGTTACTGTTTAAAGGACAATGAAGGTCAAACACCACTACATTATGCTGCTCTTTGTGAGAGACCTGTCATAGCTGAGTTACTCGTGAAGCGCAATGCTGACGTGGAGATAAAGGACAACGATGGCAACTCGCCTAGTGATCTTTGTGAGTCTACCTGGCCTTGGATGCAGCATGAAGCTAATATAACCGACTGAATATGTTTTTGTTATCTCTGTAGATTGATCATGAATCTATGTTCTGCAAATTGCAGAATGTGCGTCTGTAGTCTATTTTTAAATGCAAATGCCTGATTCCATGTACAATCAGTTCTTGAGAAAAACCCAAAGCACCGAATTCAACTTGTTTTCAGTGGCAGCTATTGCTACATCTTTTGTTTTGTAATCTTTGTTAAAGGTTTCCTACTTTCATTAACCCCATGAAGAAAGGAAAAATATGTCAAGTCAATTTGTTCTATGGAATTGGAGCCTTCAAATTGGCAAGAATTCTTGTTTGAGAGTGCAGTTATGGTTGGTTATTTTTATTGAGCATGTTAGTTTGATATTCTGAGTGTTGTCAAAATTTGTGTCATTGATTGTTTAAAGTACTATGAAGATCAATGTCTAAAAAAATATCACCTTACAAGAATATCAAACTTAATGTAAAATATAACGTACTTTTAGCTTGATTGGAAAGAATTTACGCATGAGTACCCAAGTTTACTTAAAAATAAATAAGTTTCGAAATAATTTTTTGTGACTATGTATTATTTTTCTATAAATATGTTTTTTTGGCTTTTAGTTAAGAAATGAAAGCAACTTTTTTGTGTCAAAATAAGATAACCCAGATTTCACATTTTCACTGTTAGGAATACAAATTTAATTTGAGTTTAACATATCTGGCTATGCATATCATCCAAAAATGAAGTATGCTAAACAAATAGCTTTATTCAAAGGATTATGCTACTGCATCTTTCCTTCACCTATTTGAGGAAATAAATAAAAGAAAATAAAATTGCATATCCTATCAATAACATCTCTAGAAACAAAACAAAAGCCTAACGTTCCTTCAAAGAAGGGGTAAAAAATCCTAACGTCCTTCTAAAGCTCATCATGGGAATAATCATTGTTGTCGTCATCGGCATAGTCTGATTTTCCACCCGGTCTTTGATACACGGCCATTATAATTGGATTGCACACAGCCTCAACTTCTTTGATCTTTTCTTCGTAATCCTCCTTCTCGGCGTTCTTATTGTCGTCCAACCATTCAAGGGCTTAGTTGTTGTCTCAATCCTTTCCTTCTCATCCGAGTCCAGTTTGGCAGCGAGCTTGTCCTTGTCGTTCATTTGGTTCTTCATGTTGTAAATGTATGTTTCAAGGCTGTTGCGGGCATCAATTCTTTCTTTCACCTTCTTGTCTTCCTCGGCAAACTCCTCAGCCTCCTTGACCATCTGATCAATCTCTTCCCGACTCAGACGACCTTTTTCATTTGTGATTGTGAGCTCAAATCGTCCATTAGCCTTGTCTTCAGCCTTGACGTTCAGAATGCCATCAACGTCGACTTCAAATGTAACTTCAATCTGAGGAGCCCCTCTGTTCAAACAAACAAGATCTATTTAGTAAGACAAATAAAATAAGCTTCAATAGAAACATAGGAAGGAGCATGGGCACATAGGAACCTTTGGGCTGGAGCTATTCCTGTTAGATCGAAAGTCCCTAGCAGCCTACAGTTCTTACAGTCCTTTGTAAGACTTCGTTCACCCTCAAATACATGTTCAACGGCATTAACGTTATAGAAATGCATACCTTTTTATTCACACTTCTAAAGAATTTAGATTCCAAGATGAATGCCTTAATGGTAACAGTAGTTCGTTTATCCTGGTAAGTGGTGAATACTTGGGACCTTTTGGTTGGAATTACATTGTTTCTAGGAATCAATTTGGTCATTACACCACCAACGGTTTCAATACCAAGCGTAAGTGGAGCCACATCCAAAAGAAGAACACCTGATAACATAAAACAATAATCAATCAAAAAAATTTCAACCCGGAAAACTCATAAGCAACTGATGGAAAGAGAAATACCTTTGGTCTTGTCGCCTCCCTCGCCGCTCAAGATTCCTCCTTGTACAGCAGCACCATAAGCGACTGCCTCGTCTGGGTTAATGCGCTTGTTTAGTTCCTTCCCATCAAAATAATCCTTCAGAAGCTGTTGAACCTTCGGAATTCTAGTGCTTCCACCAACAAGAACAATTTCATCAATCTGGTGCTTTTCCAAACCGGCATCTTTCATGGCTTTCTTAACAGGTCCCATTGTCTTTCTGAACAAATCATTGTTCAATTCTTCGAAACGAGCTCTGGTAAGTGGTTCAGAGAAATCTATGCCGTCAAAGAGAGACTCAATCTCTAGTCGAACCTGGTGCTGATTGCTTAAAGCTCTCTTGGCGCGCTCACATTCTCTCCTCAACTTGCCAAGTGCTCTGTTGTCCTTGCTAATGTCCTTCTCGTGCTTCTTCTTGATCAACTTAATAAAGTGATCCATGATCCTATGATCGAAATCCTCACCTGAAAGAACAATTTATCAGCTTATAACCTCAGACGAGCGGTATGATAAAACTCAAATTACAACATACCTCCCAAATGTGTGTCTCCATTTGTTGCAAGAACCTCAAAAACGCCATTATCAATGGTCAAGATACTAACATCAAATGTCCCACCACCGAGGTCAAAAACGAGAATGTTCTTCTCACCACCTTTCTNTCGAAATCCTCACCTGCAAGTATAATTAAGCAGCTTATAACCTTAGACGTCAAATAATAGCAGTACTATAGAACTCAAATGATAACATACCTCCCAAATGTGTGTTTCCATTTGCTCCATTATCAATGGTCAAGATACTAACATCACATGTCCCACCTCCAAGGTCAAAAATGAGAATGTGCTTCTCACCATCTTTCCTGTCCAAACTGTAACGCCCCAAATTCTAGGATCTCGAAGCGTTAAAAGTCTTCTTAATTTGAGCTCTTTAATGTCATCCAAAATAAATTTCAAATAAGGAAAATTTGAAGTTTGAAATATATTATAAAAATGTGATGGGAAATAATTGTCTATATAGACTTAGACAATTACGGTAAAATTTGATTTTGGAAAACATTCGGAAGAAATTCAGCAATATCAATAGCGCAGCAGCGGAAAGATAAAAACTGTTTGGCCTACCAAACGTTGACGAAAATTTGTGAAATTTTAAAAGAGATTATAACAATCATATATGTACAACATATAAAAATTTGGGGTCTTGAAGATAACTTTTGAAGCGCGAAAATACTGCACGACTATGCTGGACAGAAATTTCGAAACAGACCCAATGCAGTTTACTAAAACGGACATAACTTTTTCTCTAGTTACTATTTTAAGGTAATTCCAAAGACCACTATTAGGGGACTCATAGGCCTTTCAAACCCCATTGATTACACTCTAAAATATGCACTGTAGCCCAAGTTATACCATTTTCAAATTAAAGGGTAGAATCTGAAATTAATTCAACAGTAAATAAACTTCATGCATTGTCAATTCAACATTTGTAAATTATAGTTGATATGCAAAGTACATATAATTGAACGAGATAAACATTAAAAACATTGTTAAGAGTGTCATATAAGCATTCATAAAAGGTTTACACAATTCGAAATTTTTTTTACTAGAAAAACATTTCAAATTGTCGAGCACTTGCCACTAAGCCAAACCACTGCCATGCCTCGATTTAACCTGTGAAGTTTTAATAGGGGTGAGTATCATAACTAATACTCAATAGGAAGACACTTAGGTAATTGGTAAAAATATATACTTTCAAAAATGTAAACTTTGGTTATTTGTGTCACCGTCAATTTTGCAAGGCGAAATGGTGATCAGTCAGTCCGCTCACTCTTAGGTTTTTAATAACCTAACATAAATCATCTCTTCATATTTTATTTAAACCACCAAACGGTGATCCCTTCATGACACCAAACGGTGCTTCGTATCTTATTTGAACCGTAAGTCATCTAAATCTCTTTTAAATGACAATTTTTTTATTTTATTTTATTCAGTTACATTATTTTGACGACACACTTTATATGAATTGTTAACACTATTAAGTCCTTGATTTTTTTAAAATTTTTTTTGATACACTTGGCATATTGTACCAAATAATCCCTTTCATTTTTTTTACCATCTACTAGGTTCATAAACTACCCCACTTAGTAACTTTCAGTTTTTTTAACTACCAATATATGTATATATTTGAAAGGCCTATGAGTCTCCTAATAGTAGTCTTTGGAATTACCTTAATAGTATCTAGAGAAAAAGTTATGTCCGTTTTAGTAAACTGCATTGGGTCTGTTTCGAATTTTCTGTCCAGCATAGTCGTGCAGTATTTTCGTGCTTCAAACGTTATCTTCAAGACCCCAAATTTTTATATACATATATGATTGTTATAATCTCTGTTAAAATTTCACAAATTTTCGTCAACGTTTGCTAGGCCAAACAATTTTTATCTTTCCGCTGCTGCGCTATTTGTATTGCTAAATTTCTTTCGAATGTTTTTCAAAATCAATTTTTACCGTAATGTCTAAGTCTATATAGACAATTATTTCCCATCACATTTTTATAATATATTTCAAATTTCAAATTTTCCTTATTTGAAATAGACAATTATCTACCATCGTATTTTTATAATATATTTCCAACTACAAAATTTCCTCATTTGAAATTTATTTCGGCTGACATTAAAGAGCTCAAATTAAGAAGACTTTTAATGCTTTGAGTTCCTAGAATTTGGGGCTTTACACAAACCGTAGGCAATGGCTGCCGCAGTTGGTTCATTGATAATTCTTGCACATTCAATCCAGCAATTACACCAGCATCTTTGGTGGCCTGCCTCTGTGCATCATTGAAGTAAGCTGTATACAATAAAAAGGCAAGGTATAAAACAACATAAAATAAACTTTACCATAAGTCAGAAAGCCAGGTGCCTAACGATGTCAATAAGACTCGAATAAACCTTTGAATTAGAAGTTTACCAGGAACAGTAGCAACTGCATCCTTAATTTTCTTTCCAAGGTATGATTCGGTGGTCTCCTTCATCTTTGTTAAAATCATGGCGCTAATCTCCTCAGGACTGAAAACCTTGGTCTCGCCATCTTTAATTTGAATCTCTATGTACGGTTTTCCATCCTTGTTCACGATCTTATATGGAACGAGCTTCATGTCATTTTGGACCTCTTTATCTTCACTATACAGTAGTAAGAGTTATAGTCCTGATCGATAATTTATAAACGATACCATGAGTAGAAAAATCCGAAAGATTCTAGTTATCTAGGTCTTACTTCTGTCCAATTAGCCTCTTGACATCAAAGACAGTCCTCTCGGGATTAACTGCTGCCTGATTCTTCCTGGCCTCACCAATCAACCTCTCAGTATTGGTAAAGGCGACCCATGAAGGGGTTATGCAGTTTTCTTGATCATTCGCTATGATTTCAACATTCCCGTCTTTGAAAACAACAACACATGAATATGTAGTTCCAAGGTTTATCCTGGTAACAGTTCCCAATTCGCTAGCCTCCTTTTTCGCGGCGGAAAAAACAAACAAACTTCCTGTTTTGAGGATACAATCGCAATATTAATACAATATGTTTCAATACTTTTGGAGGAACAATCATATAGCATTCGGCATATCACACTAAAGTCCATGCAGATTAAAGTTTAATCCCTTAAAATGAACAAAAAATATTTATTGCCAAAAGAAATAAAAAACAAAGAGCAAGGTCACAACCCATCAAAAATACTCAAAATTTCATTGGAATTCGAATACTACCTATGAAGACAACGGTGAAAGCAATGAACAATGCGCTTCTTTGGGAATATTCCAAATGAGGTCCCCAATGTTTGGATCCTATAACGATATAGTCCACAACCTTTTATATGTGTCATTATAAGTCCCTAAACTATTAAAAGTGTGCTAGAATCATCCCCAACCCCACTTATCTTCTCTATCGCAACCAACACCATCATCATCGAGAGAGGAGTAAAATTATGTATAAATGGGCTACGTATATGAAGGGGAAAAATCAGGGAATTTCTTGACATAACAAAATTGAAGAAATAAAGAGACAAACCTCATCCATCTCCACGGATTTTGAACTTGTTGATTTTTCTCATACCAAAATACTGAATAGCGAGTATTGTTCTCATTGAAATGTTCAGACCAAAATTTACTGCAATTGCTTTGAATACGAAATTTAGGAATTGAATAGATTTGAATGTATCTGTAGAATGAAGAGAAAATGAGAGATAGAGAGAGCTTGAGTTTGGTAGCGCCGTGAGTTATGCTACATGTACAAAGTTGATTAACAAAATAACATCTACACTAATCATTTTAAAAACATATTTTTAAATCATTTGAAATCAACGGTCTGGATTTTGCCAACATACTTTGTAACCTAACTTTTGTAACTCAAATTTGTACAAATAGCTTTATTGTGACGAAGATGGGATGCAAAAGTTGTGGTGCGTAGGGTAGTGTAGGGTAGCGTAGGGAAGGAGAGAAATTTTCTCAATCATGCTACAAAAACAGATTAAAAATCAAGTGACGAGAATTAAAAATGGGAGGAGACATGACGCAATATCGTTAGACAATTTTAAAAATAAAAACAAAATACTTAACCACACGTAGCACTTGTCCGTGCCCATATTTACAGTCCCTGTTTGAGTAGCATTATTCAAAATTTCTTCTTATTTTTCCCTTTTTTTTTTTTTTTTTT